TAAAATATTTTCACGACAAAGAACAATTGAAGAACTTCATGAGTGCCAAGCCAGCATTACAAAGAGTACTAAAAGATATTCTAGAGAGAGAAAAATCAGACTGCAACTTCAAGAACAACAGTAGAAATCAAATGTCATGAAGAGCAAGCAAGTAAACAGGTAGAAAAACTAGGACACCAATGCAAGTAAATAATATGACAATGATAAATCAATACATATCAGTTATAACTACACATGTAAAGGGCCTCAATTCTCCAGTCAAAAGAAACAGAGTGGCAGAGTGGATTAAAATACAAAATCCAACGCTATGCTGTATACAGGAAGCACATTTCACTCAAAAGGAAAATCCATAGACTACAAGTCAAAGGATGGAAAACAATCCTTCATGCAACAGGAACCCAGGAAAAAGCAGGTATAGCTATTCTGTTTGCAGACAATGTAAACTTCAAACCAAAAACAATCAAAACAGATAAAGAAGGTCACTACATACTAGTCAGGGGAAAACTGCTAGAGGATGAGATAACAATCATAAACATCTATGCACCAAATATCGGATCTTCCAAATGATATAAGACAAATTTTAACAGGCATGAAAACCCATATAATTAATAACACTATTGTAATAGGGGACCTCAACACCTCATTAACACAAAGAGATAGGTCAACTGGACAAAAAGTCAGCAAGGAAATAACAGATCTGAACCAAAGCTGTGAACAAATGGATTTAGTAGATGTTTACAGAGTGTTCCACCCCACAACATCAGAATACACATTTTTCTCAGCTGCACATGGGTCTTTCTCTAAAATAGACCACATCCTAGCTCATAGAGCATACCTTCCAAAATGCAAAAGAACTGAAATTATCCCATGCATATTATCTGACCACAGTGCAATGAAATTGGAAATTAACAGCAAAAGGAACTCCAAAAACTCCATAAACACTTGGAAATTAAACAACAACCTCTGGAACAACCAATGTGTCACAGAAGAAATTAAAAAGGAAATTAAAAAATACCTACAAACAAATGAAAATGTAAACACAACTTACGGGAATCTATGGGATGCAATGAAAGCAGTCCTCAGAGGAAAATTTATAGTGGTAAATTCACACAGAGGGAAAACAGAAAGAGAACAAATAAGTAGGCTAATGCTACATCCTAAACTTTTAGAAAAAGAAGAACAAGTCAGGCCCAAAACCCAAAGAAGGGAGATCATAAAGATTAGGGCAGAAATTAATGGGATTAAGACAAAGAAAACCCTCCAAAAAATAAATGAATCAAAGAGCTGGTTCTTTGAAAGAATAAATAAAATTGATAAACCCCTAGCCAACCTTATCATGAAAAGGAAGGAAAGAACTCAGATTCATGCAATAAGGAATGAAAAGGATGAAATGACTACAGATTCCACAGAAATTCAGAAGATCATTAATACCTACTTTGAAAATCTTTACTCCCATAGGATAGAAAACTCAGAAGAAATGAACAGATTCCTAGATATGTATGCATTACCAAGGTTGAGTCAAGAAGATATACAATTCTTCAACAACCCAATATCAACTAATGAGATTGAAAGTGTTATTAAAAACCTTCTGACAAAGAAAAGCCCAGGCCCTGATGGATTCACAGCGAATTTTACAAGAAATTCAGAGAAGATTAAATACCAACCCTCCTCAAACTCTTCAATGAAATTGAAAAGGAAGCAATTCTCCCTAACTCATTTCTGGAGGTAAGCATCATACTGATACCAAAACCAGAGAAAGACCCAACCAAGAAAGAGAACT